CATGTGTCAACAGAACTGCACATCCTTAGGACCTAACTTCCCAAAACAGAAGAGACGATTGAAAAAAAGCAAATTAAAATTATTACCTCAAATTCTGAAAATTACATCTGGTACCAACTGTTGACCCTTTGTACATGGTCCTACTTTCACCCCTCTGTGCACACACACACACTGATTTGCAGCAGTTTAAAGACTCCCTCATGTGGTGGTCAGATATGGTGAATTAGATCACTGGAGTCAGCCAGACACTGAGCAGGCAGAGAGCATTTCAGATAACAAATGATGTGGATGTTTAAGTCTCATGTTCTGGTAGGAACAAGCCTTCAATGTACATGTCGTCGATGAGCTCACTTGCCTGCAGTATAAATGAGTTCTTGCTGAAGTTATTAATCCTTTTAAAGTCAAATGGGGACTGCTGTGACTAATCCTTGCTTCCTGGAGACAACTCTACTAAAACAGACAAATGGCTAATATTGTGTCTTTCTCTGTTCCTGCAGACACGTGTCTCCAGCAGTCAGCTGAAGCAGACACCCGCTATTTCTGTTATAGGCACTGAATGGTAAGTACTCAGAGCTTAGACACACATGAGTGTCAGTGCCAAACACCAGAAAGAATGCAGTCCCTTAGTATATTGATACTACTACTTGTATAGATGGTCCATCTTTCTCAGAGGTACCACTAGGAGCGAGCAGTGAGCAGGTAAATGAGTCATATACACCTGAGGTTCATTGGGTCTTCAGCCTGGCATCATGCTGGTAGCCTTGCTGCTCTCTACCACAGTGCCCTACAAGTCAGATGTGGCAGAATGCATCAAAATCCCTCCTCTAGCTTAGTCCAGTCACATACTTTCTTCTATAAGTTTTTTGGTTTCCTAGTACTTAGAAACTTCTCTTCCTCAGGCAAGAAGAAAGGCAGCACTGAAATGATGATCCAAGAGAAATGACAGAACAGGATCCTTCTGAAGGAGAATGAGTCGCCAGGTGATGTTCAGTCAAGCTTCTCCGTCACCTGAGGTTCAAGTTTTCCAGTCCTTTAAAGGTTCTGCATGAAACACTTCGAGAACACCACATTATCTCTGACAATTTTAACTGGTTATTTGTTTTTCATGAACCCTGCTAAAACCAATTCAAGTCCATCTACATTAATCAAACTTTTGTTTTGCTTCCTAAACTAGAAGCCATGGACTGACAGCACAGAACCTAGAAGCAACAAATACAAGAACAGATTACATACACATTCCACAACAGTTTACTTGGAGACATGCATCCCACTGCACCCAGTTACAGTCAGCTGACTTGGTAATCAGAGGATCAGCTGCTTTCTTGAGGTCTTAATTGTCCTGATGATTATTTATTTCTTCAGCCTAGCAACAGGTTTCAATTTAAAACATGAAACCCCACTAAGATAAATCCATGATTCTCCTGTGGCCCAACATGTTTCTCTGGAATC